ACAAGTGCCTTACTAGTAGAAACAAGTGCCTTACTAGTAGAAACAAGAAGCTAATAGAAACAAGACCAAAAGAAGCTGTGGCATTCCCGTGGGCTGAATCTTGCCTCTCATCGGATGGATGAGGGTCGGGGCTGAGGCCGCCACTCCCGCCCGGACTCACTTGGCCTTTTGGGTGGTAGTGCTGCCTGCATGAGAATCAAGAATTTGCTTCATCATGGTTCATCCACAAAAGAGGCCCCCACATTCCAACAGGCCCAAACGTTGCAAAGGTCATCTCAGATAGCTTCTTTTGCGCAGCATCCTTTTTTCATCTTTCTTCACTCTGGGCTCTTTCAACCGTGCCCTCGGAGTTGGAGATGGAAACCGCGCTCCGGTTCCAACGGTTTTGGCACGTGTGCCGAAGCAAACGATCTACTGCAGTCATCTTCACTCCATGAGCATCTTCTTGCTAAGTTCTGCGAGGAAACCTCCAATGCAGATTCCCCCAGTGCAGTGCCGCTGCTGCTGAAAGGCTCGACTGGACTGTGCCTTCGAACAAAGACGCTCAAACTCGATTCATCCTTGAGCGAGTTGGGGAGTTGGGCATCTTCACCCCAAACTGCAGCAAGTGGCTGCAACGAAGAATTGCAAGGGATGAGGGCAGGGAAGCTTCAAGGCTCAAAGCCTATTGTCAAAGCCTTCGGCAAATGTAGAGGCAGGGGCCAAACAGCGGCTCCTGGGCAGTTGCTGCTGGAGTATCCCGAGAGTCTCTGGGCACCCCGTTTTCTAGCATATTCGCAACTTACAGGTTTTCTCTGAGGCCGAACTTGCATCATCAATTGGCCCCTATTCACATGGACACATGCCAAAAAGAAAACCTACAAGCCCTAGCCACAAGATCGTTACAAATCAGCAAAAGTCAGGATTAAAAAAAGAACGTGTGGCATTCGTGTGATGGTCTCAGTCGGGGTCCTCGGGGTCTATGGGAATCGTCTCCTGGACCTCGAAGAAACCTTGCAAATGCCGATGCCGTGCCATCGAGTTCGACACCTGGGAAGCCGACTAAGTCGGCGAACGAGGGACGGTGGTGAACATGGCGTGTGGACGGAGTGGAGTATCCATTTACCAGTAGCTTCTTGTTACCTAGTAGTTTTGCACTTGGCTACCAGCGTCCTTGCAACTAGTAGCGATGCACCTTGTTATTATTAGCTTCTTGTTACGCACATCGCGACACGGTATTGGATATTTTCCACTGGAGCACTTACCCAAGTTGTGATTGCTGCAACGCCAAAGGCACTGCAACGTAAAGCACATGACATTGGAGCAGAATGACAAACATACTAACTGCGCGTTTACAGTTCTGATCAGGATTCAATTGCGTGAATTCTATATCGCTGCCAATTGTGAGTCTAACATGTTTTGATGCCTAAATAGGTTAGTATGACAAATGCATGCAAATGCCAGATCTTTTCGGAAAGGTTAGCAGGTGATGGCAGATGTCTTTTTGCAAACACAAATGACTTGGGGCATCTAAAGGCGATGTCATTTCTGAAATCCCAGATCGCATCAGATCGCCAGATCGGTTGCTCAATCATGATTACTCAATCCTGCTCAATCCATCCATATTCAAAGCTATCAATCCATATCAAATCGCTCCCCCTTTGGACAAATCCCAACGGAATTCGACCCAATGACGCAGCAAAAAAGAGCCGCTCGCGGACCATGCGCACCGACGGCCGTCTTGGGGCCTGGCGACCAGCAAGGCAGCGCCTTTGGGTAGCGACGTCGCCAGCCCACGGACATATTGGGCCGCCTCTGCACGGACGTCAGGTGTGCTTGCGATGCAAACTGTGGGCCGGGATCCTTGAAGCAGCTCTGGTGTTCCGGGGAGAGTTCCTTCTTGCCTCGGGTGTTTCATAGTCTTCCTTCAATTTGAGGCCATCCTCATGCGATAGAGCGCGCTGGAAAACCAGAACTTCACTCGGCAACACTTTTTTTGGCTCATAGCATGCAAGCATGGCTTTGCCTTCAGGCAGAAGCTCAGGCATTGGCACAGCTCTGTGCTACTTCATATTGCTCCCAATTTATTTGGAGCAACATGATGCACATTCTCCGGGAGCCACTCAAAATGCTCTCGCTATCTCTCGCTCATAAGATCATGTCATGCCATGTCATTCCATAGCAATTGGCTGCCCGCGTCCGTGGTCATTTGCACACTGTTCCGCGTCCCTCGAAACTGAAAGCACACCCCAGCCTTCTCACAAGCTTGACGTCAAAAGAAAGCTGCAAAAAGGAGTACGTCTCAGTGAGTGCCAAGGAGACAGAGAATCCTCCAAAGTGCCAAGGAGTACGTCTCAGTCATTCTGAGTCATTCTTGTCAGGTCTTCGACCGTCTGAATGTGTGCTTCGCACGGTGGCCCGTATACACCTTGGCTTTGCTGCTTTCCGCGGACAGTGCGACGCAGCGACGCACAGGTGTTCACGGGTTTTTCATACTTGCTGCTTGGATAATTTACAATCAGATTCCATAAGGCTGCTTCAAAGATGGCACACCAACTCATGGCATGCCACGCCTTACCATGCCATGCCATAATATCACACGGATACGTTTATCGTTTATCAGATCCGTGACACAACATTCCAAAACATGGCACTTGCCGTAGACTCATGCAACTGCGAACACCTATGACTCCTTCTATTCTGCGTTTGTTCCAGGCCATGTCCGCTGGGAAGAACCTCTCTGGAACAAATTCAGTCCCAGGGACCTTGCAGCATCCGGATGCCTCTCACATCACACAGCAGCAGCATTTCTTTGGCGCCTGCCAGGGCCGTCTGGGATTCCAGGCAGTGAAGTCACGCTTCCAAAACATTCTTTGGGTGCGGTGCTTCAATGAGGTTTGCTGGTACTGGTACACCAAAAAGCTGGTTGGTACAGAAACATGTGGTCCAAACGCCTGTGGTTTTCTGAGTCTTTTGAGTTCTTGAGCCATTGCTCGCATGCGAAGAACCGGTCCTGGGCCGGCTTCAGGATCTCTTCAGGCTCTGTGGCCTGGCAAAAAACAGGCGTCTTGAACCTCAGAAACCCCGTAAAACATCAGGTGAGTCAGTCCAGGGAGATAGCCCGCATCCTCCATTCTGAACCAGGCGGGTTGGCCGACTCATACGATAGTATGTTCTCCAATCCTCATGTCTGGCTAGAATCGGACATCGGGCATCGCAGAGTTCTTGCACAAATGGTGCACTGTGCCCAATCTTTCCCAGAACTGCATTTCACAAACCCCATTGACTTAATGGCATTTGACTCAATTTCTTCATCGCTATTAGATTGGAGGCCATCGCTCTTGGGTTGGAGGCCATTGCGCGGCCTTGGCAGGTCACATCCAAACCACTCCCCAAAACCGCCGGCCTTGATCGCTTTCGGTCTCACGAGCTGGCGCCACCTGGAAAAACGGACCGCTGGCCGTTGCGGCCACTTTGCGGCCCATTGGACGCACCGTTTTCGGCGCCGCAACAATCGCTTCAAGGGTGGAACAGCAGGGATACAAGTGAATACGGATGTGAATAGAAGCAGTAACTGAGCTGGTGTATTTCAGGGCAAAAGAGCTAAATACATCAGGTGTCCTTTTGAAGTGCGGGTGGAAGCTTTGCAGGTCATGAACGATGAAATGGTCCAATGTTAGTCCTGCAAGCTTCATAGTGCTTCTCTCAATGCAAACTGAGCCGCTGTGCAAAGAGCAAGTGTTGCAAGGTGCGCCCATCTCCTTGCAGGTGAAGCAAAGAACTTCCTAGCAGGATTGGTAGAAACGGAGTCCAAATCATAACTTGTAGAGGTAGGGTTCAATCCAGGTCACCAAAAGAGAAGTTGTCGAAACTCTTGAACTGTCATCATTGCTGATGGAAGCAGTGGTGCGCCCATACATCTTCCAGCCCGAATTATATGATGATGTGTAATGAATTAAAGGCCCTAATACCGTCTGGCCCTGAGTGCCTGATCATCCTGATCAGAATCTCCCAAATGATTGACCCATCCACAACACTGGTGATGGGATGAAACTAGCAAGAAGTGCACAAAAAAGAAAAAAACGCGGAAAATGTCCAACCAGTCTACACTCTCCTGTCATCAATTTTAGATAGCATAAAGGCATAATGACTTGACCAACCTAGTTTGTTTATTACGAGAGCTTCAAGTCCCTGTACCAAGCTACCCTATTAATAGTGGATGTCCATGTTGCTTTCACGGCAAAAATATATAAAGGTTTGTGACGGGCTGTTACAAAGAAGCTGGATCTTGGTGGATGCAGCGAAAGTTCTTTGCCTGGACCTGATCTTCCTCCTTCATGCTCCTGCAAGGAGACGTGCAGAAATTCTCAAAAGGATCTGGTCAAACCTCAGGAGACGTGCGAGTCAGTGCCCCAAGAGTCAGCACATCAAGGCATTGACGAAAACCTGAATCTATGGTCGACTCATCCCGAATCATTGCTTTTGGCCTGAACCGAAAGGGTCCGCTCCGAGAAGCGCCGTAATCCACTAGGCTATAACTCATCCCGATGGGGGCACTAAAAAGACTCCACTTGCAATTGTGTGCTCAGCAAATCGACTCCACCATAAATGCTTAAGATAAATGGTCTTGTACCCTCCCTACCAGTTAAATCGACTCCACCACAGTTATGGTAGGGTTGTGGTAGGGTTGTGGTGAGATTCCACTTGCCAAATGTACAAACCCATTTAGCCGTCGTGGTTGCCAAGTGGCCGTCGCAATCGCCCCTCTGCGGCTGTGGACCAGATCTGCAGCACCGTGTGGCGCCAGGCTTGGAAGACCGCCTGAGGCGGTCAAAGGGATGGAACTCCTGGGCTAAGTTGCAAGCAGTTTGCCAAGCAAATTTCTAGGACACCGGTCACCTACCTCATGACAACTGCACCATGATCTGTGGATTTGCAATGTTCACCTACATCCACAGGAATGTCACAGCAGCAATGTCACAGCATCTCAGCTGATTGACCTGATGAAACGCAGATCACATCGTTCGCAAAAACCAACGAAGGCAGTCCCACACCTTTTCTGAGGCGACCACGAAAAATAAACGTTTGGAAATACGGAAGACCAAAAGAATTGACGTTGGTCCCTGCAAGTGCCCCAGATTGGTGGCCACGCCTCTAACAACTCTGTCTGGCTCCGTCCGTCCAAATAGGCCTGGTAGGGGAGGCT